CAACCTTCCTTCCGAGGAGTGGCTGGTGGGTTTGAACTGCCAGCCTTCTGGTTAGCAGTCAAGTGCTTTAGCCACTATGCTACCAGAGCTCCCCAGCAGGAGCTACTATTTTAGCTACTCACTTTATCACCCAGTCTACTCCAGATATTAGAAAAAAAACTGAAAAGGCAGAGGAGGGCCCCCAGACTCCCATCCAAGACCTGGTGAATATGGCCTTTAAAGTCTTTAACACCCAGGAGGAACTGGCTGAGGCAGATAGGGAATCCCACACTCGTACTCATCAGAAGGCTAATTTACAAGCCCAAGCCTTAATGGCAGCCCTGAGGCCCACACCTACTACCAGCCAGAAGCAACCTCCCAACAGGAGCCTGTTTTAAATGTTGAGAGGAAGGCCACTGGGCCAGCTGTTGTCCACATCCACGACAACCTTCTAGACCTTGTCCGGCGTGTGTTAAGAAGGGACATTGGAAGAGTGACTGTCCCTCAGTGCCAAGACACGGAAGGCCAACTCCTCCAACCTCTGACCTGCCGTTGACTGCCTGAGTCTGGCAGCTGCTAAGACTGAAGGAGCCCCGACTCATGACCCCGATCACTCTCGCCGAACCCAGGGTAACACTCAAGGTAGCGGGTAAGTTGACATCCTTCTTGGTCGATAGGTGGGCTACCTATTCTGTCTTACTTTCCTTCCTGGGACAATTATACCCCTACACAGTCTCAGTGATAGGAATTGATGGACACTCCTCCAAATCCCAGGTAACAGGTCCTGTCACATGCCTCACAGACAACAGAATTATTACACACTCCTTTCCAGTGATACCTACCTGCCCCACCCCACTTTTAGGAAGAGACCTTCTTTTTAAGTTAGGAGTCACCCTACACTGGGCTCAGGAACCCTCAGCACTACTTCTACCACCATTAATCTCTACTCTATCCTCCACACCGAACCCTCCTTTATCTCCTGATTTAGAGGATCCAATTGTGTGGGACATTTCTACTCTTACTATTGCTAACCACCATTCACCTGTTATTATTCATTTAAAAGACCACTCACATTTTCCCTCTAGACCCCAATGTCCCATCTCCCTGACACATAGGCAAGGACTGAAAACTCTTATTCAACGCCTCTTATCTAAAGATCTTTTAATTCCTACACATTCACCCTATAATACTCTCATCCTCTGTAATACCTCTACACCCTGTTGTTCCTAAGCCTTATACACTACTTTCTCTCATCCCACCGTCTACTACTAACTTCTCTGTACTAGATCTTAAAGATGGCTTCCTTACCATTCCACTTGATCCAACTTGTTATCAGACAGAAATTACAATACCCATTACTCCCAAATCAGTATCTTCTAATTAGTTTCCGTATGCCTGTTTTACATACGACCAATCCTCTGCAGGTTGTAAATATCTCCTTTCCACCTATGGTAGATATTATTACTGGTCATGTAGGAGACATGATACCTTTGAAAGTACCAAGTCTAAATACTTCTATAATATTTAGTGACCTAAATAAGGTGATTTATTCGTGACCCTTGGGACACCAGATGGGTGTCAGGGGTCGAGGGTAAACTGTATACTTGAAGTTCTCTCTCTCTATCCTCAGGAACCATCTATATAGCACGGGAATACATTGCAGCCCTCCACACTTCCATACATATCTCCACCAGCATATCCCAAGCAGAACAGACTTTACAGGAACAAATCCTGGGAACTCCCAAAATAGTTCCAGTTTCTTCCTGGATACAGATCATTCAACACACTATCCTTCCTCAACCATTCTCACACTTTACCCAATGTTTCACACTGCGTCCTTTGAGCTTCACTTCAACGACCCTTACTTGCAGCTGTACCTATTAGTTTCACTCAACTACCACCTACACCCATTCCCAATACTTCCTGCACCACTCCTCCACTACAAGTGTCTCTTTGGGAACCTGAAACCCTTAACCAGACACATCCTTCCAGAGTTTGTTTTTTCACCAACACTTTATCTACCCCCCTGGGGTATGGCTTTTGCTCACTGAACATTTCTATTGTGCCCTGTACCTCTGCAACACCTGGCACTCACTTTTGGTGTAATGGAAGTTTAACTAAATGTTTAAACTCCACCACTCCAGGCCCCTGCTTTCCAGTAACAATAATACCCCAACTCACTCTATATGGGGAACCCGAATTTTCCTGGCTACTACATGGAACCAGAATCAAAAGTGCTGTTTTTCTACCTATCATGGTGGGCCTCAGTTTAGCCTCCGCTTTTGCAGCAGCAGGAATAGCAGGTGGAGCCCTGGGTCATAGTATAATATCAGCCCAAGATTTTCAAACCTGTCTAGAGGTAGCACTTGAAACTACTGAAGATTCTCTGGCCTCCCTCCGGCGGCAACTAACCTCTTTAGCCCAAGTTACTTTACAGAATCGAAGAGCTTTGGACCTATTAACAGCAGGAAAAGGTGGAACTTGCCTCTTTCTTTTAAAGAAGAATGCTGCTATTGTATCAACGAATCCAGTCTGGTGGAACAAAATGTCAATACACTGACTCCGCTGAGCGAGGAACAGAAATCTCACCATTTGAATAGCTCCAGTCACCACTAACAGCCTGGTTATTACCCCTTATAGAACCTCTTCTACTAAGAAGTCTCTTTTTTCTTTTCGCCCCTTGCCTGTTTAGATTCCTATAAAACCGGCTTAAAGAAACGTCCAGAGTTACTGTTAACCAACTACTTCTACACCCATACACCCGCCTGGCAACCGACCCAATTCCCACTGACACCAGCCTTTAACCCCACTCCGACCCGGTTCAGCAGGAAGCAGCCAGAAAGGTAACTTCTTGCCCTTTTTATCACCAAAAAACGCTGGAATGTCAGACAGGAACACAGGGAGCCAGGCAGGTAAAGGATTAAGCCGGAAAAAATTACAAGAACTGGTCAAGCAAGGGAGTGGCTGACCACACCCTATACTAAACCCCAGCACATAACCTTGGCTTATGAAGACCCTCAACTATTTCCTGCCCACTATACTAATGAAGAAGTGCTTCAACTCTGCTTCCTGCCCCCATGCTAATGAGGTGCTTTTACCTTATTGGTTCCTGTAACACATACCCTGCTCTCAATCCCTTCCTCTAAGAACCAGGAAGAAAATCACTATTAAAAAACCCTTTCTTTCACCTGGGCAGCAGGAATTCTCTGGCCCCTCTCAGGGACATGTGAGCCTCACCCGGGCCCTTCTGGGGAAACTGTAAACCTCTCCCAGGAGCGCAGAATAAAAACTTCTCTTTAACACCAGCCCCCCGAAAAAAATTCCAAAACAACCTACATGTAAATGAAAGTAAGTTTAGTAAGGCTACTGGATCCAAGATGAAAGGTTACGTGTATTCCTATATACCAGTAACAAAGAGAAAAATGAAATAGCACGTACTGTAACAACAGGTAGTACCTAAGGCTGAAGGATAACAGATACATAAAATCTCTAGAGAAAATTACATCATATTGAACCATATAAAATTGCCACCATTTCAATATTTTCACCAACAAAAACAAAAATTTCATGATTCAACCTAACAGAAAGTGGAGAGGGAATTTTTGTCTAAAATTTAATCAAGTGTGGAAAAAAAGTACATATACAATGTTATCTTTTTTAATATTGAAAAGTCAGTGACCATTTAGGATATAATTAATAATGAGTATTTAAATTGATGATAAATAAAGAGAACGTGCTATTAACAAAGGGGGGGGGGCAAAATAAGCGGAGATAACTCACATTCATGGATTAGCTTCAACACATTACCCAGAAAATGCCCAATAGGTTTTCATGTGGAAATTACCAATGCAAATAAAATTACACTACACCAAACACAGTAAGACCTTCTTAAAGAACAAGGTAGGATGACCTGCTCTGCCTGATTTGGAAAGCAAGGAACTGATATAAGGATACAGAAAACAGACCAATGCTACAGAAAAGACCAGAAGATAGAGAAGGCAACATTTTCTGAGGAGGGAAACATTTCTTAAGCAAGACCTACAAAGCGCAAGCACAGGGGGAATAATGATAAACTCAACTATGTTAA